AGCCGATAACACAAGTTATTTGAGCTCTCCAAATCTCTTTAGGGAAGAATTTATAAGCTGCTTCCCTTTTGTCCCCTGGAAGCGAAAAGCAATGTAGGGGTTCAGTGATGAGAATATCTGTGAGAAAAACAGTTTAACTCAAATGTTATTTGACTTGATCATATAGCACAGACAACAGATAACTTGATTTAGCAGTTCGTTTGGAAAGATCAAACATGCATGAAGAAGGAACTAATGCAGAATAGAAGGACTCTTGTGTTTGTAACTGCTCATGCAGCAGGCTTCAAGTGGCCCTGTAGTTTGGGATAGATAAGATTAATAATAATAATAATAATAATAATAATAATAATAATAATAATATATTTTTATCTCCCTGTCCTTGTGGTTCGGGGCGAGTTACAGCATAATTAAAACACATAAACATTTGTAAAAATGTTTTACATTTTCAGTTCATACAGTAGTAAATCATTGTTGAAATTAGAAGTGTATTTATATACATAAACACTTGGAACATATCTGATTATTTAGACAGTCTTATTTACTTCTTTTTAAATTTTCCCTCATAAGTCTTTCTGTTAGTCTCTGATTTGAAGCACATAGTTGAGCCCATTGTACTATCATCTTATAATGCTTTAGACCAGAAGTGCTTTTGATTTATGATTATATTGTTTTATTTTGGATATACATAATAAGATATCTTGGAGATGGGATCCAAGTCTTGGAGATGGGATCCAAGTCCAATACTACTCTGTTGCGCCAGCCCCACTGCCTGCCAATTGGCTTCCGAGCACAATTCAAAGTGCTGGTGTTGACCTATAAAGCCCTAAACGACTCCGGCCCAGTTTACCTGTCCGAACGGATTCTCCCCTATGAACCATCAAGGTTGTTAAGATCTTCTGGAGGGGCCCTGCTCTCGCTCCCACTACCCCGCAAGTGCGTCTCTTCGCAATCGAGACAGGGCCTTCTCGGTGGTGGCCCCTCGGCTGTGGAACTCTCTCCCGATAGAGATCAGATCTGTCCCCTCCCTCCTGACTTTCAGAAAGATGGTAAAATCTTGGCTCTGGAACTTAGCATTCTCAGATTGATGATCGAATCAATAACTGTTGACCACAAGGCGGATGGTGGTGAATTTGTGATTTACCTTGACAAATTGGCTTTATGTAATTCTTGATCTGTATTTTAATGTGTGTTAATGTATTAATGTACTATGATGTTATTATGCTTTAGTTTATTTGTATAGTGATTCTCTGTTGTTAGATGGCCTGAGTTCATCCTCGGAGGTCGAGAAGACTGGGTTATAAAAGCTCTAAATAATAAATAAATAAATAAATAAATAAATAAGACTTAACAAAAAACTAATTTATGTTTCATATACACCTTCTGTAAACAGCAGCAACAACAACACCAATAATGTTTTATTTATTACCTTCCTCTCCTGATGGCTCAAGGTGGGGTACAACAAATTAAAAACACAATAACATAACCATATATACAATAAATTACATAGATAAAAACACAAAAACATAAAAACATAGATATAGAATTGACATGTAGTAGCAATAGAATGTAAATCGAAATTCAAGTTGATTGGGTAGGCCTGCCAAAAGAGATGGGTCTTCAATTGCATTTTAAAATTCTGGCGGTTCGTGTAGTGATTAGCTCTCTTCTGGCAGGTCATTCCATGGCCATGTGATGGCTGATGAAAAGATCTGGGTGACTATTGCCAGTCAAGTTCTGGCTGGTTACAGTACGTGTCCCCCAGATGATCTAAATGTCCTAAAAGGAGGATTATGCAGGAGAAAGTCATCCTGTGGTAACCCGGACCCAAATTATGTAGGGCTTTGAAAAGTATTTCAGATTTTAGAATTCTAGATAAAGTAATCTTTAGATGTTTTAATAGAAGGGGAAAAGAAATCAAGTACAAATAATTTCTTAAACCCAATTGTTAGTACCACCTAAAATCGACCCATGAAATCAATAGAATCATAGGAAGTTGACACTTACATATGCTGTGCTGATTCATGAAGTCTACTCTATTTGGGACTAATGACTTGATTTTGAGCTAAGTACATGAAGGCTATAGACCTGTCCAGAAGCTTAAACTTTTTGGTTAATTTTAATTCCCAGTAATCGTATGTCTCTACTCCAGATGGGACTAACAAATGATTTTAAGTCAGAGGACCTAATCAGACGGGCAGGGGGAAAGCAGGGGAAAGTGAAGGGAACTGTCTTATCCTGTTCCCACTCATCTTTCCCCATTTTCTGGGATAGCCAGCCATCTCATGTGCTTACCATGACTTTCCCAATCTTTCCCTCGCTTTCCTCTTCTTTCTGCTGCTTGGGGTTGGGTAACAGCCAATTCCTGGAGATGGGTTTCCATGCACTTAGGAAACGAAAGGCCATGGAGTCCCACCAGAAGGGCCCTTACATCATGTGATGCCCTCTCAAGGTGCTCTGTTTCCTAAGTTCATAGAAATGGAGATCATCTGATGAAATCCTTAGTCTCAAAATGCTGAATTTTACTGTTTTTTCCTAGCCCTATGTATATATACCTCCGTTTGCCTCACTGGCAACAGAACTTCTGAAGATGCAGATGAAACATTAGGAGAGAATGCTACACGAACATGGCCATACAGCTTGAAAAACTCAAAGCAACCCAGTGATTCCAGCCATGAAAGCCTTTGACAATGACTACCTTTTGTTCTGTGCGTAATATGATTTATAAGATCATTATGCTTCTAAGCTGTTGTCATTCGTGCTTTCATCCTCGTATGTAGGGAAAAAAATGAGGTAACATTTATAATGAAGAGAGATGTAGCAAAAGAAAAGTTTGGCCAAATTATGTCAATAAGATTCATAAGAACTCTGGCCTGAAGCCAGTGACACTGTCATGAAGGAATACACACACACATATACATACACACACATACACACACAATACCTATACCCAAAAAGAAAGAGATACTTTCATAGATGTCAGTTAAGGGCAGACAAGAAGTAAAAATAAGATGGTGACAGAAAGAAAATAAGAATACTGAAATCAGCTGTTCAGTGACTTTTGTGTAAGAGAACAATAACAGCAAAACCTCAATGGAGAGAAGTAGAAAGTAACAAGGAAGAAGGAGGAGGATGAGGAGGAGGAGGAGGAGGAGAAGGAGAAGAAGAAGAAGGAGGAGGAGGAGAAGAATGAATGGGGGACCCTTTCTATAACAGCTGTCTAATGATTTTATGCAGGTTTTATCTTTGAGATAATTATTGCCCTGGCCTGAAACCAGTTCCAGGTATGGCAGTCTGATCATCTGCACAGAAAAACTGTTTCCTCCCAAGATTATTATTGTGCCAGTATAGAAGTGCACCAAGTTGGAATAAAAATATAGAAACATTACACAGAAGAACTATATAAAAGAGATGAAAGGGTGAGTGACTCATTCAAAGAAGAACTATATGAAGATGGACCTACAATTTTAGATAGTGAAATGGAAGCTGACTCAGACACCTAAGTAGAAATGCAGACAAACAAAGCAGTTTTAAGCTACAGAGACGAATCTATTCTAATTATGTTCTGTCAACAAATTTGAATAATACAGTCACAAGTAAACAGGGGCGGCTCAACCATTACTCAAAGTAAGCCTTTGCAGTATAGTTGATTTTGCCCAGGGGCACTCTTGAGATGCTCTTGGGGGAAAATAGACCTTGACATATGCTAGTTGTAGTTACTGGGATGTATAGTTCACCTACAATCAGCATTCTGAACTCCACTAATGATGGAATTGAACCAAATATGGCACACAGAATTCCCACAATGAACAGAAAATGTATATCAGTGATTGGTTGGGGGGGGGGGGGGCAAAATACTGTTTGCTTACACTTGAAAATTACCTAGGGCCGCCTCTGCAAGTAAAAGACACCAGGGATTACGGCAGTTGAAGAAAAAAAAATTAATTTCCCATGCTCAAAATTCTATAACAAAGACTTTTACTGTATATAGAATGAGAAATACCAGATGTTGGAGCTGGATTCTGGAAAGGAACAGGAACTAGGTATCATATTGTAAATGTACATTAGATAAAATAGTTAATAATTTCCAAAAGAAATCAGCCTTCAATATGCAGAATTTTTTAACGACTGGTACAATAACCCGTGATCAATCCTTTCATAATTTGTAGTTTGAAGCACAGGCCCCATCTACACTGACCATTTTATGCAGCTTGAAGCTAGTTTCAAACTGTGATGGCTAGACGACAAACTCCTACAAAAATGTGTGAAATAAAGCCAGTGTGCATGAGTGCTTTGTAGTTTGCGTAAACTCAATTTGGGCCTCAGGCTGGTTTCAGAGAAGTCACTTTCTTCCATACCTCTTTAAAACTGCATTAAATGAGGCCATAGTGAAATTATAAAATAAAGGCAATTCCCTTTGAATATTTACTCTTTGCAAACAGTTTAAGTACCAGGCTTTTAGACATTATCCTGGGAGTATTGTTGTTATCAGTGAACCAAGAAGCAAATAGAAATAGGAAATATAATTCCATTATTGAGTACACTAACAAAAAACTCTTAAAAGATGACCACAAAACCCTCAGAGTAATAAGTGACATAAAGCCACATACACCGAATGACAGTGATTGTAAAAATAAAAATAAAAATCTGAGACGCCTAAATTGTGAAATTGAACCTTTCACAGTTGTTTTCTATTGTTTAAAAGCCTGCTTTGCATATTGCACCGTTGTGTAAGAAATATAATGCTAACAAAAATGATATTTTTTTCCGCTTGAGGAAGAGTTTGCATAACATCTTGTATAAGAGGAAGAATTGATGCAACCTACATATAAGATCACTGGCGTGACTTAATGTGCAAACTCTTGTATGTTTGTGGAAGAGTACTACTACTGCAATCAGTTCTTGGATTCACACCAATATTAATAAATGCTTATAAATGATTACTGGAACCATTGTAATAGCACAAATAAAGAAACTCAATCATCTGTTTTCTTTTTCCAGCAATGTTTCCTCTGCTGGCACTTTTAGTCTTGGCTGCTGGCCTACATCCATGTGCTGGAAATGAGGTATGACCGCATGTGTGAAATTTGAAATTCATTCCAAAAGAAGCACCCTCTGCCTCCAACCAAACAGGATTTCACTGCTGTGTCTTCAACATAGTGTCCAGGGATTATGAAAAAAGGATAACATATAGGAGTAATGTATACTCATTCTTTTTTATTGACAGCCTTTATTGGTTGTAGCCACATATATGTCCATTATGCCAATAATGAAATAACGTTCTTTATAGCTATTTTGAAAGCAGTAACCTAAGACCAAGGGCCCTTCCAGACTGGCTTAAAATGTGGGACCTGTCTCGCTTTTTACCTGAGGAGTCTAAATTGTGGTATAATATAAAAGAAACCATGTGTAGTTCATGTTTGATCAGCCAACACACTGCCTTGTCAGATAAAGAAAATATGCCACACAGATGAAAAATAAAGAACAAGTAGTTTACTCTTCGTAGTTCAGAACAACGTATGTACAATCATGTGATCAATTACATCGACTCACATAATGTCCTTTTATGAGAGATTTAAAATGGTCTTTCTTTGTCCATGTGGATAAATTCCTTCAGGAGCTCATGAAGCGAGAGCACACTTCAAACCAGCTCTCTCTGCTTCTCCCTCTGTGCATCTGTATAGCTTAAGCCTGAAAAATGTAACAATATCCAAAAGTCCCAGGCTTAGCTTCCTCCCTGGTCATAGCCCGACCAATCAGCTTCATGCATCTTATTTTACAGTTAACACACACACACAATAACTGATTTCTTGCATACTCCAACATAAATGACACCTTAGGTAAATGCAAATTAATGCAGAATAATTTGGGTTTTCCTAGTTTACTCCGCATTAATTAAACACCTCTAAAGGTCTGGACCTTAAGCTAAGGTCCGGTTCTTTAGAGGTGAGGGCCCTGTGAGGACTGACTCCCGGGACTGCTTCTACAGTCCTGAGGGTCAATCCCCAAAGCCATCCCTCTTCTTCAGACTCCCAAAAGCCCAGAAGAGCAGGATGGTGCCCCACACTCTTCCCATCTCCCCATTTCACCCTGCTGGGTCCTCCCCCTTCCACCTCCTGATGCACCATTTTCCTACATCAGGAGTCCTGTACAGAGGAGCCTGTGGTGACCACAACTGCCTCCCCAATAAGTTTGGGGGGAGAAATGGGAGACTGGGTGGCATCCTAGAAAAACCCAGGGTTTGGGTTAGGGGTGGAGTCTAGAACCCATGAGGAAGCGGGTTGTTTTAATCTTGGCTTTTAGCATAGTGTAGAAGAGTCCCGAGTCACATTGGTGTCATATGAGAAAGACCCCATATGATAAAAGATGACTGCATTTGACTAGGATAGGGTGGGAGTAAGACAAGTAATAGCACTCTGACTCATGTGTGCTCCCAGTTCCATGTAGAAATTGTTATGCTAATACCAGGCTTTCCCAAGAATGTCCAGTTATATGGTTCATTCATGCATTCAAACAGTCTAGAAAACATTTCTTTTGTGAACATAAATAATCCATTATTGACCTCCTTTTTGTATGAGAAAAGCCTTCCAATGCTTGAGAGCAACGAGAAAGGAATAATGTCATGTAATAAATCCAAGGCAAAGAGGTTGTTGTCCTGTGGTAATTGCAATTTGCCTGCCTCTTGTGATAAACTCCTTAATGGATTCTATATGTGTGTGTTTTCTCATTTTTGTGTTTGTGACTGAAAATTTGATTTCATGACAGAAACATGCGGAAGCATTTGCTGCATTGTCGGCTGATTTGCCAGAAGTTCAGAAGGAAATTGTTGACAGACACAATGCCCACAGGAGGCAAGTCGAGCCAAGTGCTTCCAACATGCTGAAGATGGTAACAATTTAAGCAGCACTTTTGTGGTGCTTCATTTTTTTGTTCCTTATACCTTCCAGTGACTTTTGCTTTGTTTTCCAAGGCAATCTTGGAAAAAAATATTTCTACACATAATTAATTGTGTGTGTGTGTGTGTGTGCGTGTGTGTGTGTGTGTGTGTGTGTGAGAGAGAGAGAGATAGTATAGACATTTTAAAAAATAAAATAAAATATGGTAATAGCTATTGTTAGTCACCATGGTAATCAGGGGCGGCTCGTCCATTACGCGAAGTAAGCGGTCGCAGAACACTTTTTTTTGCCAGGGGCGCAGAGGCACCTCTGTAAATGCCCCTCGACTGCCACTTGAGGAGCGCCCCCTCAGCTCACACAGCCCTAGCAGTCCGGGGGGAGCCTCAGCTTTCTTGCCTCGCTGCCGGGCGATCCTCTTCCCAAAGGGGCCGGGCCCTTGAGCCTCGCCTAGCCCCTCTCGTTCCTGCTCCACCCGGCCACCGGGTGTGCGAGCAGAGCCGGCGCTCAATCGTTCTCCACGTTCGATCCCTTCCCCATGACCGGCTCCCTTTCCCGATCCCCCGCTCCACCCGCCTCCTCTCCTCTCCACAATCCGTGGGTGGGCCGCCGCGCCTGGTCCGGAGGCGTGTCTGAAGACCCCAGTGTGCGCACCAAAAGTTGCCTCTTCTCCTGACTTTCTCTTCAGCCATTGGGACCAAGAGAGAGAGAGAGAGAGAGCCCCTCCGGCTGGAGGTATCTCCCACCTCCGCTCCCTCCTTTGTTTTTGCGCCTACCTTCAGGAAAGGTGGGCATCTCCACCTCTCTCTCTCTCTCTCTCTCTCGGTCCCAATGGCTGAGGAGAAAGTCAGGAGAAGAGGTGACTTTTGGTGCACACGCCGGGGTCTTCAGGCATGCCTCCGGACCCAAAGCGGGCCAGGCAAGGGAGCAAGTGCGGCAAGTGTAGTTACTGGGATGTATAGTTCACCTACAATCAAAGAGCATTCTGAACTCCACCAATGATGGAATTGAACCAAATATGGCACACAGAACTCCCACGACGAACAGAAAATATATATCAATGATTGGTTGGGGGGGGGGGGGCACCAAAATACTGTTTGCTTACTGTTGAAAATTACCTAGGGCCGCCTCTGATGGTAATATATGAATGATTCAAATGGTCTGTGGTGCAAAACTTATTTTGATATCAAACTACTCTTTGACTCACACTCACAACAATACAAGAAACATTGCAAAGGGCTATATGATATTCCTTCACTATTTAATAAATCCCCACCACATAACTTTAAAAGTAGCAAAGATGTTACCTGCTTATAAAAAATAATGAGACTATCCTTCCTTAAGTTACAAACCTATTCTAATATGGTTGGCTTAGTTATTGGGAAAAGGACAAAAATTGCAATTAACTCATTTGTAATGACATATTTCCAGGAGAATAGATAGCAGTGTCATCTTTGATACTACAAGTTGGGAATCTCTACCCATCTCTCTCTCTCTCTCTCTCTCTCTCTCTCACTCTCTCTCTCACACACACAAAGACACAAAGACACACAAAGAGACATATTTAATATTTTTACTATGAGTCTAAGCAGGGGACATGATTTGATAATGAATTCATTGCCAAGGATAGCTTTTAACCGAAATAACCTTGAAAGGTGATGATGATATACAAGATGTTAAACATTGATAGGATATTTTTCTTGGGTATAATTCAATATGTGGGTTCGAGTTGACTAGCCCTAATTTTAAATGGGCAATTCATTCACAAATGGGAAATCTGGCACATGAAAGCTTGCAGTCAGTTATATGCCGTTGTTTCTTTCAAGGAATGGAACGGGACAGCTGCAATTAATGCCAAAAGATGGGCTGAAAATTGTACATACTCCCACAGCCGTGGAAATCAAAGGAAAATAGAAGGTAGGTTAAATGGAAGGACTGTCCACTATGTTCCTGAAATATTCCTCTTTACCTAGGAGAAAAATACTGCCTGTAGTCTAACACCTTATGAGTGCAGTTGCCTTCCATGATCGTTAATTAAAACAGTAACACAGCTTGCTTTAATTACATTGGAATAGCCAGCATGTTTTATTCCTTCCCAGAAAATAGAGGTGACAGAGCTGATGGAAGAATATTAATGCTATTTGTACATAGCTTATTCCTGGTGGTATGGGCATACCAAATCACCTTGTCTCTCTCCTGAGGAATCTGTCTAAGGACCAAGTAGCAACAGTCAGAACTGACCACGGAACAACAGACTGGTTCAAGATTGGGAAAGGCATATGGCAAGGCTGCATACTCTCACCCAACCTATTCAACTTGTACGCAGAAGACATCATGCGATGTGCGGAGCTTGATGAATGCAAGGCTGGGGTGAAAATTGCTGGAAGAAACATTAACAATAACAATGCAGATGACACCACTTTGATGGCTGAAAGCGAGGAGGAGCTGAGGAGCCTTCTAATCAAGGTGAAAGAAGAAAGCGCAAAAGCTGGGTTGCAGTTAAACATCAAAAAAACCAAGATTATGGCAACAAGAATGATTGACAACTGGGAAATAGAGGGAGAAAAGGTGGAGGCCATGACAGACTTTGTATTTCTAGGTGAAAATATTACTGCAGACGCAGACTGCAGCCAGGAAATCAGGAGACGCTTACTTCTTGGGAGGAGAGCAATGTCCAATCTCGATAAAATAATGAAGAGTAGAGACATCACACTGGCAACAAAGATCCGCATATTCAAAGCAATGCTATTCCTCATAAGCCTTCCTTATGATTAAAAATATCATCATTAAAATGCCAAGGTAAAACTTCATACTATAAAAGTTAAAAATGAAGGTTAAAACAAGGGTTAAAATAGATTAGCTATTACACAATCCTAATCCATTTCAAATATCTGATAGGCATATACAGGCACTCCCCAGGTTAAAAATGACCTGTAGGTTTTTCTGTAGGTTTGTTCTTACGTTGACTTTTTATATACATCAGAACATTACATTTTAAGAGTAACTCCAGTCATTTTTTTTTGTTTTGGATAGCACACGGAAGAGTTTGTTTTGCTGTCTTTGCTCATTTTCACCTCACTTTCTGTCCCTGTGATAATTGGGATTTGAAAATTTTGGTTTGTTGTGAAAACAAGGATTGGTGATAAAACCTTAGTGGAGACACATTTTTCCTCATGACAACTCTTTCAGGAGTGAATTTCCCTCCTTAGGGGTAGATTTCCTCTCACTTCCATTCTTAACTAGAAGTTGTATGTAAATTAGATGGTTGTAACTGAGGAACTGCCTGTAATAAAAAAAAATCCCAGACTATTTTCATTCAGTAACTTTAAATGTGAATACTTATTTGTATTTATTTCTCTCTTTCCCTTTTTTCAGGTGGCAAGTCATGTGGTGAAAACCTCTTTTATTCAAGTGTCCCAAAGCCTTGGTCAGATGTAATACAAGCTTGGTTTGATGAAAGGAAAGACTTTATACTTGGAAAGGGACCGACACATGAGAAAGCAGCAATTGGGCATTACACTCAGGTACATCCCTTAAGTAGAATACAGCCAGGCCCGTAGCCTGGATTTCGTTTCGGGGGGGGGGGGGGG